GTACATTTTTTTCATTTATTTATTGTTAGTGTATTAGCTTTGTTGTGTTAGGTTGTAAAAATTGCAAGTCTTCGAGGTCCTAAAGTGTCATTTTGTTTATCTTTTGTACTTTTGGTAAATATGAGTTTTTTACCGATTTGGGAAGGGCATTAACGTAATTTTTAACCGTCTCGCCAACCACATAACCCAACGATTGACCAACCGACCAATCAAGATACTAACTGGTCGCTAGACCAAACGACTCATTGGTCGTCCCATCAAGCGATCACCATCTGGTCTCTTCAATCGGCTGAACAACCATTCGTCCAGACGATTCAATGGTCGCCCAATCAAGCGATCAACTGACCTCCGTTTCACTTGTTTGACCTCCGGGTCGGCCGTCTCATCCTTCTTCGTCCGACCTCCTTTTGACCGACCTCCGTGTCTGTCATCTCATCTTTCTTCGTCCGACCTTATTTTGTCCGACCTCCGTGTCGTCCCTCATCTTTCTTCGCCCGTCTTCCTTTTTTCCGACCTCCGCGTCTGTCATCTCATCATTCTTCGCCCGACTTCCTCTTTCGACCGACCTCCGTTAAGACCCTGCTACCATTATCAGGCCAATTGGACTATGAATCAATCCAATTTATAAACCTTATACATTATTATTGTTATTATTATTTTTGTTACTCAACAAATAAAAAGTAAAATTTGAAAATAAAAATTATCTTCAAATTTGATAAAATAAATGTCTGAGATTAAGAATCTCTAGACACCGTACGATACATAAGGAAACTAGAAAAATAAATACTACAGACTGAAAAAGTAAATGGTGATCCCCAAAAGTAATTCACTTGAATTTGATGTCGATTGAAGATGCTTTTGCATGCGAACCCCCTCTTTAAATATTCTCTAAGGAAACATTTTGGAACCGTCGTCTGTTCGGTTACACCAACAGCCGTCAACCGCCCACCAATTCCTCCTCAATTAACCGTCTCGCCGACCGCTCCTGCCAATTACAGGACTTAACTGGCTCGACCGACCGAGCAATCAAGATACTAACTGGTCGCTAGACCAAACGACTCATTGGTCGCCCAATCAAGCGACCACCATCTGGTCCCTTCAATCGGCTGAACAGTCATTCGTCCAGACGATTCATTGGTCGCCTAATCAAGCGACCACCATCCAGTCCTTTTAATCGGCTGAACAACCATTCGTCCAGATGATTTATTGGTCGCCTAAATAAGCGACCACCATACGGTCCCTTCAAACGGCCGAACAACCATTCATCCAGACGATTCATGGGTCGCCCAATCAAGCGACCAACTGACCGCCCTTTCAAGCGACTGAACTACTGTTTGACCAAGTGACCGGCCAATCGATCAGTCGATTAACAGGTCGCTTAATGAAACGACCAATTAACAGACCTTTCTTCGCCCGACCAATTAACAGACATTTTCTCTTGTCCGACCTCCTTGTCTACCATCTAATCTTTCTTCGCCCGACCTTCTTTTGTCCGACCTCCGTATCGGTCATCTCATCTTTCTTCTCCCGACTTCCTTTTGTCCGACCTCCGTGTCTGTCATCTCATCTTTTTTCGCCTGACCTCTTTTTAACCGACCTCCGTATCGGCCGTCTCATCTTTATTCGCCCGACCTCCTTTTAACCGACCTCCGTATCTGCCGACCTCCTTTAAGACCCTGCTACCATTATCACGCCCATTGGACTATATATCAATCCAATTTATAAACCCTATACATTATTATTATTATATTATTATTTTTTTACTCAACACTAATACATATATTTCTTAAATATTTTTATTTTATCTTTATTCAAAATTAAATTAAATTATGTATTAAATTTATTTCTTAAATGTAATTATCTAATCAATAATTAAAGAATCACGGATGCATGGAGAAGACGGATGGTGCCAGTGTAATATCACAGTTGGAGAAATTGATATTATTTAGCGATAGAATAATCGCACTAAATCTCATTTATGGGGGCAGATAATGATGGCAGTGGACACTGTCAATTTCTTAACTGGAGAAGGCGGCTCACCTATTGGGAATGGTTAAGGACGACCGATGGATAAATTGATAGTGCCTGAAATGGATCACCTATGGATAATGGTAAGGATCACTGATTGACAAGTTCATAAACCATGGAGAAGGCGGGTCACCGGTTAAGAAATTGATTGTGTCTGACAGCAAAGAGTCATCGATGGAGAAAAATTTGTAGTGTCTGGTTGCGCAATCAAGCGACCACCATCCAGTCCCTTCAATCGGCTGAACAACCATTCCTCCAGACGATTCAATGGTCGCCCAATCAAGCGACCAACCGACCACCCTTTCACTTGTCTGACCTCCGGGTCGGCCATCTCATCTTTCTTCGCCCGACCTCCTTTTGACCGACCCTTTGTCTGTCATCTCATCTTTCTTAGCCCGACCTTATTTTGTCTGACCTCCGTGTCGTCCCTCATCTTTCTTCGTCCGTCTTCCTTTTGTTCGACCTCCGTGTCGTCCGTTTCATCCTTCTTCGCCCGACTTCCTCTTTTCACCGTCCTCCGTATCGTCCGTCTCATCCTTCTTCGCCCGACTTCCTCTTTTCACCGTCCTCCGTATTAGCCGTCTCATCTTTCTTCGCCAACTTTATCTTCTCCGACCTCCTTTAAGACCCTGCTACCATTATCATTATTATTATTATTTATACTCAACAGTAATATTTAGATAATTTAAATAAAACTTATATTAATTTCAACAACTATACATATAAAATATTTAACGCTACCAATATTATGCGCAACAGCGTAGCGCGCCAACTAACACTAGAATATATATATATATATATATATATAATAATAATGTGATTTTGGTACATGTATTGATCCTGAATTTACGTGTCAACACAATCGTTCAAGTCATACATACCACCTACATAATATTCAGAGAAGCATATACTATATAGTATTATTATATCGAATCTACAAAATCATTTTATAACAAGACAAGGGGAATAACCTTATCGCATTACAGCTAATCTATTATTATATATACATATATTTCTTCACACATCCCAAAGTAGTTCTGACACTACAAAATTGCCTTGCCTTGGGAAGTACCTTAACGTCTATTACACCATCCGCAATCGATATATCCGCTTTTGAATATTTTCACTGTGTTTTATTATCTACATTATTTTCTTTCTATCAATCGATATATCCGCTTTTGAATATTTTCACTGTGTTTTATTATCTACATTATTTTCTTTCTATCACGTTAGCGGAGATACTTTCTTCTATTTTATATTTATAGCAAAGATACTCATCCTAATTTTTTAATAAATTTTTATTTGCATATTATATATATTGTTTTTTAATTATAAACTAAATATATTTATTATTTAATATAATTTTATATTATTTAATTACTTTAAAATTTATAATTATATTTTATTTAATAATTAAATTTATTAATATTGATTTGTTTACTAGAATTATATAATATTTATATTTATATATTTTAAAATTTAAATTGATAAAATATATTCAATATTGGTATTATTTTATAGAATACAAAATATTATGAATTATAAAAATATTACAAAATTTAAATATAACAATAAATTCAATATAAATTACAAAAACAAAATATATATAATATATATATACATATATGTCATGTGTCCCAATTCAATTAGGACACATGATATTTGAACGATAAGCATCCATCCCTTTTTTATTTTTTAAATTTTTTAGAAGGAGATGCGCCGTTGCTGATGGTCTTAGCTTTTGATTCTAAATTTTTACTTCAAACAAGTCATGCTTAAGTTTTAAAATTATTATTTCTACAAAACAATTTAAGCTTAAGCCAAAATTTTAGTTAAAATTTTTTTAACGAATCGAATTGAAGTCAGAATCAAACTTTTATTGTTACCAAGTTCGAGCTTTAAGTTAAAATAACTGCTCGGCCATTTTGAACCGGTTTACCTTTTAAGGACTTGGATTTTGTGATGATCTGGACAAATCAGTATGTGGATTTGACCAAATCAATATATGTCATACAAATAATTAATATATATATTTATACATAATATAATATATATTAAGTTATAATACTTTTTTTTTTTAATTCAAAGTATATTTTTTTTATATTTTCAGCAATTTTATTTCAAAGTATATTTTTTATTTTAGACAAAAAGTAATTATATACTAATATAAAAATATTATTGACTTTTACTTAAGTTACAAATACATTATTTTACGTACAATTACTTGCAAAAATATCAAAAAGTCTTACGCATCCCATTGAATAATAAAATATTATTATTTTTTTATATATTACTAAACCCGTAAAGGCACATTTCATTTAAGACAGAGAAAGTATAATATATTTTGAATTACAATATAACATATATATTAATTTCCTCTATATATATATATTATATTGATGCGATCAAATCAACATAATACTTAATTGGATCATATCCTAAACTTATATTTTATTTTTAACATAGGCAACAGATTTAGCGGAAATTCCATTCCAACACATGCACACACGGCGCATCCAGAATGAAACTTGGACCCAACCCTCAAGCCTGATGTCTCATCCCTTGATTTAGGTTTGAGTGTCCGCAAATTAAACATAGAGACACGAAACTAAACCAGTTTAGGGTGGGTGTGTTTGAGGATTGAATTTTAAATATAACGTTTATCTCATTTTTTTAAAAAATATATCAAGTTAAACATCTATTTTTTATTTTTTATATTATATTAAAAACCAATTTTATATTATATGAATATTTATTTACGTCGCGTTATACAACTGTTCAAATTCAAAATTTTTAAGGTTAAAAAACCCCAAACAAACAATGCATAGAAGTAATGGCGGATGGGACCAGACACACATGAAAATTGAAAGGATGTAATAAGAAATTGGGCCCCAAACAAACCCCATACTCACATGCCAATTCTGCAACAAAACTCCATTCCTTAGCAACTTACTACTGCTAATTATTACACTTTCCTGCTCGATCTCCATCGATCAATCGTTTCCCACATATTCTTCGTCGACACTTTCTTGACCAATATCATCGTCATCATCGTCTCATATCATGTTGTCAATTTCTTTCCCTCACTTTCTGCTATGCCTCTCAGCTCTATCTCTGCTTCATCTTCTTCCCACTGTTCGTCCTTCCAAAATCGGCCATGGCTACCGTCTGATCTCCATCTCAGAGCCCTCGAATGGCGGACTCCTAGCTCATCTTCAACTCAAGAAGAAAACCAGTATCTATGGCGATGACATTCCCCTCTTACAGCTCTATGTCAAGTAATAATCAAATCAAATCAATTTCGAATAAATTCACAATGTAATATTCTTACCTATTTATTTATAAATTATTATTTCTACAGGCACGAAACTGATAGCCGTCTGAGAGTTCACATCACCGACGCAGAAAAGCAAAGATGGGAAGTTCCGTACAATCTTCTTCCCAGAGAAACCCCTCCGCCATTAAGACAAAAGCTTGCTACTGAACCATCCTCAATAAAATCATTCTCACACTACATAGGAAAAGAACTCATCTTCTCTTACAAACCAGACCCCTTCACCTTCTCCATAACCCGAAAATCCAACGGCGAGACTCTCTTCAACACAACCTCGGACGAATCAGATCCTTACAGCAGCTTAGTGTTCAAAGACCAATACCTAGAAATCTCCACAAAGCTGCCCAAAGATGCATCCTTGTACGGTCTGGGAGAGAACACTCAGCCCCACGGGATTAAGCTCTATCCCAACGATCCTTACACGCTATACACGACTGACATATCCGCCATTAATCTTAACTCCGATCTGTACGGATCCCACCCTGTCTATATGGACCTGAGGAATAATGGTCTGAAGGCTTCTGCTCACGCGGTGCTGCTTTTGAACAGTAATGGAATGGATGTGTTCTACAGAGGAGATTCTTTTACGTATAAAGTGATCGGAGGGGTTTTGGATTTCTACTTCTTCTCCGGACCGTCGCCATTGGGAGTTGTCGATCAGTACACTGCCTTCGTTGGGAGGCCTGCTGCAATGCCCTACTGGGCTTTTGGTAATTTCACACTTTTTTTTTGGTTCCTTACAGCTGTTCATTTATTACATTTAAGTTTCGTGTCTGCTGTGCTCTTTTGGTATGGTTGCTTAAAGCTTTGTCGAATGTGTAGTTTATGTGCCCCTTAGAGTAAATAGATTTTTATTAGTGAGCATAAATTCGAATATTATATTTGAATTAAGTTGATATTTAAAATTAATTCGAATTTCTGACTTTTTTGGATTTCAGACATCGGACAATTCAGTTCAGTTCGAATTAGTTTTTAAAAAAAAAATCAAAATTTTCTTACTTGACAAAATCGAATTTGAATTTGACAAAACCCGATCATAAAAATCGAATACTTTTTCTTACTTGAGAAACATAAGTTTGCCAATAATTGCCATAATTCTTCCAAAAGTTTATTTTATTGAACAACTACTTTCGTATGTCTTGAAATAACACTATACACGATAGATAGTTACCGGCTGTTCGACTGTTAAATTTGAATTTTGATTTAAATAGTATATCAAACTCTATTGGCGCCAATGCAGGATTCCATCAATGCCGATGGGGTTACCGGAACCTATCCGTCGTCGAGGACGTAGTCGAAAACTACCAAAAAGCCAAAATTCCTCTCGACGTAATTTGGAACGACGACGATCATATGGACGGCCACAAGGACTTCACTCTCAACCCCCACAACTACCCCCGCCCGAAACTGCTAGCCTTTCTCAACAAAATCCACGCTCGAGGAATGAAATACATCGTCATAATCGACCCCGGAATCGGCGTCAACACGACCTACGGAGTCTATCAACGCGGCTTAGCCAACGACGTCTTCATCAAATACGACGGGAAGCCGTTCCTAGCCCAAGTCTGGCCGGGAGCTGTCAACTTCCCCGATTTCCTAAACCCGAAAACCGTCGAATGGTGGGGCGATGAAATCCGTCGTTTCCACGAACTTGTCCCTGTCGACGGCCTGTGGATTGACATGAATGAAGCTTCCAACTTCTGCAACGGACTGTGCACGCTTCCGGCCGGGCGAATCTGCCCGAACGGGACAGGACCCGGCTGGATTTGCTGCCTCGACTGCAAGAACATTACGAAAACCCGATTCGACGATCCCCCGTACAAGATAAACGCGTCGGGAGCGCAAGTTCCCGTCGGGTACAAAACCATAGCCACGAGCGCGTACCATTACAACGGCGTATTGGAGTACGACGCGCACAGTCTCTACGGCTTCTCGCAATCGATCGCGACGTATAAAGGCCTTATCAGCATCGAAGGAAAACGCCCGTTTATACTATCCCGCTCGACGTATGTCGGATCAGGACACTACGCTGCACACTGGACGGGGGACAACAAGGGGACATGGCGGGATTTGAAGTATTCGATCTCAACGATGCTGAATTTCGGGATATTCGGAGTCCCGATGGTCGGTTCCGATATCTGCGGATTTTATCCCGCCCCGACCGAAGAGCTATGCAATAGATGGATCGAGCTCGGCGCGTTCTACCCGTTCTCGAGGGATCACGCGAACTTCTATTCGCCAAGACAGGAGCTTTACCGATGGAAATCCGTCGCCATTTCCGCGAGAAACGCTCTCGGAATGAGGTACAAACTTCTACCGTATCTTTACACATTGAGCTACGAGGCGCACACGACAGGAGCGCCGATCGCGCGCCCGTTGTTCTTCAAATTCACGAACGAAACGCGACTCTACGGATTGAGCACGCAATTTTTACTCGGGAGCAGCCTAATGGTGTCCCCCGTTTTGAACAAGAAAAAAACGAAGGTGAGCGCAATGTTCGCGCCGGGGAGTTGGTACAACATTTTCGATATGAAAAAAGTGGTCGTCTCAAAGGTCTGTCACTACCGGTCGCTCGCTGCGCCGTTGCACGTTATCAACGTGCATTTGTATCAGAATTCGATCGTACCGATGCAGCGAGGCGGATTGATTTCAAAAGAAGCTCGAAAGACGCCGTTTACCTTGATCGTCGCATTCCCCGTCGGCGCGACGGATAGTGAAGCAAAGGGTAATCTTTACATCGACGACGACGAGCTTCCCGAGATGAAACTTGGGAACGGATATTCGACGCACGTCGATTTCTTCGCGTCGGTTAGCGATGGCGTAGTGAAAGTGTGGTCGGATGTTCGAGAAAGTAAGTTTGCCTTGGCGACAGGGTTGACGATAGAGAAGGTGACGGTGCTCGGGTTAAAAGGGTCGGCTCGGAGCGCCGTCGAAATTGACGTCGACCATGACGGAGATACTAATACTTCCAAAGTAGAAATTGCCTCTACAAGGCATGAATATGAAGAGTTGAGTGAAGAAGAAGAAGGGATGGAGAGTGTAATGGTGGAAGTTAAAGGCTTGGAATTGCTTGTTGGGAAGAAGTTCAATATGTCCTGGAAAATGGGAATCAATTGAAGCTTCAGAATTCATCCTATATATATATATAATTATTAATATGTAGCTGTCTTGGAAAAACAGCCATGATCGATCTTTTTCATATGATATATTTCTTTTATAAAATATATCGAATCAAATATTTAATTTTCTATTATATCAAAAATATTTCAAAAGCATTTATCTATCCAGTGCCAAAATTATACTCTCTCCCTCATGTGATTTATTTTTCTTCGCACAAAATTTTTTATACTCTATTTAAATTTCTAACATTTTTACTCACTTAAAATCGTTTATTTTTATCTTATCTTCTCAATTAACCAATATTTTTATCTATTTTTAAAATTTTCAAATTTTTTTAATAAAAGTATGTTGTGGTAATAAAAAGTAAATAAATAAATATATAATTTTTTATTAATTTATATTATTTAAAATTTAATTTTCTATAGAATAATATATATTATATATATGTTTTTTGAAATATAATACTCCCTCCGTCCCACATAACTTGTCCTTTTTATTTTTGGAAATATAATTATGCACTTTAATCGCATTTTAAATTTTAAATTATAATTTTATTAATTTTAATTAAACTATTTACTTATCTTAATCTTAATCTATAATTATTTTTACTAAATAATAATTATTTTTACTAATACACTTCTTAATTACTTACTAATTATACTTTACCTAAATTCTCGTGTCTACAGTACTACGCCCATGTTATATGAGACGGAGGGAGTATTAAAATAAATAAACACATATGTTAAATTTTTTTAATTTATATATAGTACTCCGTTCATCCCTTAATAAACTATCAATTTTTTATAACAAAATATTCATTTGTTTTTTTAATAATTGTGCTTTCTAGATAACAATATAAATATTCTTTCAATTTACAATATATTAAATAAATATCATTACCTTTATATCATAGCATAATTTAATCCTTTTACCTTTATTTCTGCTGCATCTTAATATTTATACAAATATTTCTATAACTTTGTCCCAAAAAAACAAAATAAAAAACATCATCTTAAATCTGAAGGGATTAATACACTCCATATATTTTTTTTTTTGATCAGAAAATACACTCCATATATTTATATATATAAACATATGTGCGTGCGTCTGAGATAAGAATTATGTCTATGAAAGCCTCAGCTCATACAACGAAACTAGTTACAACAACCACGCATCTATCTCTTGTACACAACGCATCACGACTTGTACACAAAAAGTTATACTCTTTCAACTACATCCCCATCGCCGGCCGTCCGCCGGCCGGAAAAGTAACTAATCCTCCGGCTCCGCCGAGAAATCGGGCTCCTCCGGCTTCGGCATCTTCGGCAAATCGACATCCTTGATCTTCTGCGCTCCTCTCCTCGTGTTAGCGGCAAATCTTGACGCCAATATCGTCACCCCGAGGTTAGTTTTTATCGCCGGCGCCGTCTCGGCATCGCCGGATCCGTCCCGTTCCCCGACGTCAACATTTTCGGGAATACCCTCATCCGTCGCGGCGGCAAACGACTCTCTTCTAGAAAGATCCTTGGCCATCGCCCGCCGCTTGTACCTCCGCCAGGCGGCCTGAACGAAGCACGCCGCCCACGTCCGCCAATGGTGCGAGTAAAATCGAAATGTATGCTGCAGTTTCTTGCTGTGGAGTCGCCGGAATTGATTAGCGACAAACTTGAGATCCTCGGCTCGTAGTGCGAAGGCCTCGACTTCGACGAGGGCCCTAACAGTCCTCGTCGACGACGGAAGATTCGACGCCGATTTCGGGAGGAGGGCCCAGGCGAGAAGCTCCTCGCCACAGAAATCTCCGGGCCTTAGCATGATCGAATTGAAGAACCCGGTCCGACCTCCGTTCGTCGTCGAGCTCTCGAGCCGTCCGCGGATTATGAACAACATTTCCGTCACCGGGTCACCTTCCCGGACAATGTACGTGTGCTCAGTGCTTAGGGATGAAACGAGACGCTCGCATATTGCGTCGAGCAATTGGTCGTCCATTTGCGAAAAGAACGGGACCTGACGATTTTGACGAAACAAGATGACGATAGATGCGAAAAATATTAACTTCGAATCGTATCGTCTCGATCGAATATCTCTTACCCGTCGGACGAGGTCTAAACATAGGTGCCGTTGAATGTCGCGGCTGAGATCGGCGGGTAACCCGCGCAAAATAGCTTCTTCGTCAACCCCTCGTGTTGCCAGCCATTTGTACTGAACGAAACGCCGTACGCGTCTCCTCAAATCTTCGGGAAGCTGTCGATGCCGCATCCACTCTTCGGTGTCTCGTCGCTTGAGTCGCCATTCCTCGAGCCTCACCGTCAGCGATTGCAAATACGTCTATTTATAAAATTCAGAAAAATTACCCAAAAAGATAAGAAGCAACTCAATCGACAAAGAAAAAAAATCCTCGAATCCTATCGCCGACCTGCATATTTCCGATAAGATGCGCGAACAAGACGAGACCCAAGATGGCAATGAGAATCGAAAACGACGTTTCGCCAATGAATGTGCTCGTCGACAAATTCTGCCCATACGAACTGCGAGTACCGAAATACAAGAATCAATACGAAAGAAAATGTAATCCCTAATCAGATTCCGAGCAACGATCGATAACGACTACAGAATATAATCGCAACAATCGACAGTGCGGCCGTCAAATGTAGAGCAAAAATGCACGACGACGAAATATATCGATGAAAAAAAAGCCATACCTTAAGTTCTGTAATCCCCACCATAAGCAATAGAAGTACTTGCGAACAAAAGTCGACGAGACAACCTGCTTTTTAACCGCATTCTCAAAAATCCCGAATTTGAATGTAATATCGCCATCCGGATCACAACTTTGGTAGATGGTTGTGTTTCGCAGCCAAATGTCACGTTGTGCTCCTCGACTGTCCGGACCATCACAGTTCAAATATTCGAGCAAACATTCCGTAGGGCTTTTTTCTCTCCGACATATCTTTTTCCAGCAAGACAAGTATCGATCAACGGATAAAACATACCACGCTGCGCCCAAGACCTACAACATCGACAAACGAATAAATCCAATAGTCGATAGAAACACATATTGTAATAAAAAGACAAAATTAATTATAACCTGTTAACCGATCGGAATGACCGTCTCACCTAAAAAATTAAACTATTATGAATACACATCATTAATTTATTTATCTATAAACAGGAGTCCACCAACATTAACCTCCTACGATTTGAAAAGCCTGCACTGTTTTCCATTGCGATTTTAAAATTGTTTGAGACTTCATGTTTTAAAAAATATTGCACAAAAAAATCTCATTTTTAAAGGATTCTCTACAATGTTACGAGGAATCTCATGCAAATTTTTAGAGGATTCTATGTACCCTCTCCGTCCTAGAACAATAAGGACATTTGAGTGTAAAAGTGTTTCTAAAAGACCCATAATTTATGTAATAATTGTGAAAAAAGTAGGAATAAATTTGTAAAATGGTAGAAAGCTGGTTACCAAAAATAGAAACGAGACTATTGTTTTGGAACGGACCAAAATAACAGAATAGGACTATTGTTTTGGGACACAGGAAATAATATTTTTTAAAACACGAGAGATCTCATACGATTTCTAAATTATGAGTGAATATAGTACTGATTTTTCAAATCAAACTACACATGAGTTATAAACAATTTTACGTAATAAAATAAAATGGATAGTAACAAACGTACATGGCTTGCCAACATATAGAGTAGCAAATTGTACGCCGCCCCAGCCCACGCCGTTTTAGTGACCACTCCCGTCGCTTTAATAATTTGCGAACTTAATGGGAAGATTAGATACAACCTCGGAATATACTGAAAGAGCACGATCAAAGCAAGGGCGTTGTTGTTATGATTCGTGTGATGGTTTCTCGTCGCCGGAATTATGAACCAAATGACAATCTACGCAACAAATAAAAACAATCCATTACATAAACAGGAGCTAAAGACAACCTCGACAATCCAAAAAACATTACTACCTGAGGCAGAGGCAATGTAGCGATAACATCAATGAAGAAGTCGGTCCTAATGTACCTTCGAGCAATTTTCCTCGGGTCCATCACGAGCTCGCCACGGCCAAAAACACGCGAGCTCGGCGCAACATAGGCTGTCCTAAACTTAATCACTACATGTAAGAGATAGAACAGGTCGGCAATTGTTCGAAAAAACGTCGCCACGATTCGAAGCTTGTAGTCGGTTTTCGCACACCACGAATTCTTGTTTCCTCCTATACTTGGTAAGTAAAAATACAATGGATCGATGAACAATGCTAATAAGCAAGAAACCATGAATACTCTGTTCCAATTTAGGACAATTTCACTCCCAGGATCGAGTATATGTTTATAACATGGCGTTCGATCCTTAAACGGCACTTTACCAACACCGATTTTACATTTACCATCAGAATTCAACAGCACTTGAGCTGAATTCGATTTACCCCCCAACAGCATAAACCCCTTTTCCTGTTTACCATCTGGATAAAACCTAAACAAAGATGAGCAGAACAACAAGGAATTGAAACCTCAATTTGGGGGAGACCAAAATTGGGGGAAATGTCGATTGTTGGAAGAAATTACGATTAGGTAAACAAACATATCATCAATTTCAAGAGTCGATCAGAAAATTGAAAGATAATTGAAACCCTAATTTCGAAGAATTGCGTTCTTCTGCTTACCTCACAATCTTCTCGTTCTTCACTTCCATTTGCGGAATTGAAATCTGCTATGCGCAAAATCCAGGCGTCGATCCGAAAGTGAGAATGAAAAACATTCTTGCTCAGGTTTAGACAGTCAAACTACGATCTGCAGAAGGCGATAAAGTGAAAAGGGGAAGATATTTTTAATTGCAGCAGGAAGGAAGGAGTGTTTCTGTCCACAGAGGTGTGTGGATGATTGGTTCTTCGATTGGAATTTAAAATCGAATGCTAGTCAAGATTCAAGACTTTGATTTCTTTATTATTATTATTACTTTTTCTCGAGAATCGCAGGCAGTCCAAATCGAGTCCATGGCTGCTGCTTGGGCGTGGTGGGCTGAGCAAGAACAGTACGGTCAATTCAATGCCTTAATTGTTGTTATTCACATCTTCATTAGTTAATTCTCCGATTCATAACGGACATGAGTTTTTATCTGTGTTTTTTTTTTCTTTAACAAAATTTTAATTTCATGCTAGCTATGATTTTTTTTTTAAAATAAAATAAAATAAAATAAAAGATAATAAATTATGATGATCTTATTTTGGAATTTTTATAGAATTATTGCTCGTGTTTTAGTGGTCCAGCAATATATTTTAATATTAATTTTTTATTTGAAGAATCACAAGTAAAATTTATTTTTGTTTTATAAAATTCTAAACACTCATCCAAAATTCAAACAATATACATACTCCTTTCATCAACAAAACATTTGTTCACATAAGTTAAGACATATATTTTAATCATATAATATTAGATTAATTAAAAAGAACTTAATTGTGAGATAAAATAAAAGTATTGTAAAAAAATAAATATGTAAGTTGACAAAGTAAGGGGGAAAAATTAACTACAAAGGTGAGATATTTAAATTAAAACATGTATAAAAGCATTTTTGCATAAGTATAAAATATTAGGGATATGGAATTATTTCAATAAGTACATAAAATATATTTGTGTACATTACACTATAATACAAATAAATTTAATGGATGAAGAAAATGATTCGATCATTCCTTAAAATCATATCTATAAATATTAAACATGTCAATTTAAGAAATGTTAATATAAAAATATAAATTAATTAGAAATATTATTATAAAATTAAAATTGCTTAAATAAAACTTAAATTATGCAAACTTTTAATACTATCTTCGTCCTATAAAACCAAGAACATTTATTTTTTTTTACGTAAACTTTTAATATTAATATTATATTAATTTATATTAAAATTGATAAAAATACCCTTATTAAATTATATGATATAAAAATAATAACTTGTGTAATATATTAAAAATTATAAAAATATTAATTATATTGATAAATAATATAATTACTAAAACAATAATATCCTTATTTTATGATAGACAAAAATAAAAAATATATACTTCTTTCATATGAGGAGTGAGTAATATTGTTTAGCCTTTTACCATTTCAATAAAAAAAAAAAAAAAAAAAAAAAAAAAGCCAATGCTGCAAATTTTAATGCCACATGATTTGTAGCATTATGAACATTTCTGCACTAACCTTTTCACATTACCGTATGTATACGTTCTTGAATCATCTGCCCTGTAAACAATACGTATAAATATATAGATATACCGATATATATATATTATGTACAATCTCTACTTCTCTAGAAGCTACAACTTCGTCATCATATCATCATCAAACTTCCCCATTCCAAGGCCCCCCCGCCGGAAAATTCTGCGGCCCCTTCGCCGGCGGCGGCGCCGCCAAAAGCCCCTGAAGCAGCTTCACGACCTCATACGTATCGTCAAGATAGTATTTCGCCATGCTCGGCTTCTGCCCGACCGTGCACGCGAAAACCTCCGTCTCCGCCGGCAACACCCGATTCTCGATCGAACTCGCTATCGCCTCGAACATTTCCTCGTCCGACCTGTCGTCGCCGATACACAACACGAAGTCCGCCGGCTTCCCCGAATCCCTCGTCGCCTCGACGAGATTCTTCACGACCGTCCCCTTGCTCACGCCCTGCACAAATTCGAACCACCTGTTTTAATGTTTGACAGATCGACGAATCGTAATGAAATTGACACTTTCAATTCGATTCGATACGAACCTGCGGCTTCACTTCGACGATCTGCTGCCCATTTTTCACGACGACGGGATCGTTCGCGAGAACGCTCTCCAAATGGTCGAGAAGCTCTTTCGCTTGCCACGACCCGAAGTCAGGATCAGCTTCTTGATGATGCCACACCAACGCGCTCTCCTTCTGCTCGATCGATGACCCGTCCGTTGCCTCCGTGTAGTGCTCCATTATCGGCAAGACGATGTTTTTCCAGTCGAGATCGACGGCCAAGCGGCAGGTCTCCCATCGCGCGCTCTCCGGCCACCTAATCGAACATCAGAAAACTAAATCAAACATCAAAACTTTCATTACATTGTAAGAAAACCGGACATCCGGCGACGTTATACCGGGTAAAGTAGCCGTGCTCGGCGGACAACCCGAGTTTCTCACATCGATCGAACCACCGCCCCAACGAATCCTTCCCTCGACCGCTCACGATAAACACAACATTCTTCGGATCGTCGCATAAACCGTTCAAGAGCGCAATCACTTCCGGGCTCGGCGACTTGTCGACTCTATCCCGCGCCATCATTGTGCCGTCATAGTCGAGCAGTATAAGCCGACTATTCGTCGCGTTGTACCCCGCCGCGATGTGCTGCACCGAAAGCTTCCGGAAATTCGGGCCAAGCGCGACAACCCTCGAGTTCAGCCCGAACCCGATCCCCCAACACCGCTTCCGATAATGCTCGGCGCAAGCCCGCTCCAAGTCCTGATCGAAACTCCGAGCCCAATACGCGACGTCGTGCGACGTAATGTACTTATAATGCTTCTCGTGTCGTAATTCTTTTTCCGAATCCGACATCGTCATCCCCAAAACCATCGCGTCCGCGACACTATTAATGTTCCAAGGGTTCACTCGGATCGCACCGCTTAACGATGGCGAGCACCCGATAAACTCCGATACAATAATGACGCTCTTTCTTGATGCGCCGGAGCCTTCGAGGCCCTCCCGACACACCGTGTACTTATACGGCACCAAATTCATCCCGTCCCGAACGGCATTCACGACGACGCATTCGGAAATCGCATAATACGCGACCTTATCGTTAAACGAAACTGGGCCGTTGATACAAACGATGGGCGTATAGTCGACGCTACCGTACTTCCGATTAATCTCCGTCGCAACCTTATCAATCTCATCCCGAACTTCCTGAATGTCCCGACCGCGACTCCTCGGCGCATTTGTTATCTGAACAAGGACAGCATTCCCGCGATACGACGGATTTTCGTCCAATAGGATTCCAAAGGCCATGAACTTGAGGCTTATCCCTTTAAACATGTCCAAATCGTCGACGCCTAAAAAGATGGTCTTGCCGGAGTATTTCTTCCTTAATTCTTCGACTTTCTGACGGGTGTCGGAGTCGGACATCGCCGATCGAATCTGGCCCATATGAATTCCGACGGGGAGGATCTTGATCCCGACAGTTCGACCGTAATAATCCAATCCGATATAACCCCTTTTGGATTGATAATCCAATCCAAGCATTCTGCTGCAACACGACAAGAAATGTCTGGCGTAATCGAAAGTTTGGAATCCGATAAGATCGCAATTCAAAAGAGCCCTCAAGATCTCTTCTCTAACAGGCAATGTTCGATAAATCTCTGAAGAAGGAAACAGACTGTGTAAGAAAAATCCGATCTTTACCCTGTGGTATCTCTTCCTCAAGAAAGTCGGGAGAATCATCAGATGATAATCGTGGACCCATACGTAATCGTCGTCGGGGTTTATGACCTCCATCACTTTGTCGGCGAAGATCTTGTTGGCGGACACGTAGGCCTGCCACGTGGACTTGTCGAAACGGACGCCATGGCTGGAGGTCATCGGAAGCATGTAATGAAACAGAGGCCAGAGGTAATGCTTGCAGAAGCCATGGTAGAACTTGTTCATCAAATCGGAGGGGACGAAGGTCGGGACGCAATTGAACTTATCCAGTAAGATCTGCGCAGCCTCGTCCTGCTCCGAAGGGTCGGTTATGTCGACTCCCAGACAACCGACGTAGACGACCTCGACCTCCGGCGGGAGGCCGTCCCGGAGCTGGAGGACCAGGGCGTCCCTGTCCCAGTCAAAGGACCATTTCCGGCCGCCGGAGGCTTCGTCGCCGGGGAAAGCCTTCACCGGAAGCCGATTCGCCACAATAATCCGCCGCTCTTTACACGCCGCCGGCGACGATTCCGGACTTCCGGCGACGTCGTCGCAGTCGGAAAACACTCCCGGCATCGAAATCACTCTCGGAATCCGGCCGCCCCTCTCGCCAGAGCAGTCGTCGATACTTAACAGATTGAAACAAGATCTGGACAGCATAATAAAATAAAATCCCCAAATTTCAAAAAAACCCTAAATCGTCGAATTTCATGAAAAGCAATTGGGAATCCGAGAGGAATTGGAATTGGAATTTGAATTGGAATGGAAGATGAAGAAGACGATGAGGAGGAGGAGAAGATATGGGAGAGTCTACGTAACGGGTTTGGTTTTGAATTTAATGGCTAAAGATTGACTTGGAAAACCGCCATTGCTGCCTGCCTTCCTTCCCCAATTCTCCTAATCTGCGGAAACCTATGAGGGATTAATTAATTAATAAATAATTTAATTTAATTTGGGGATTGATCCGTTGGATTTTGAGCGTTCAAAGACTTACCTTAAAACCTCCATCATTATCCTGCAGGATTTTCCCTTCTATTTTATATTCGTATATATCCATCTGTTCACATTAAATTGTGATTTTATTTTATTATTTTAATAGTATAATAAAGATACCAAGTTTATTCAAAGTGAACCACCACTTTTATTTTATTTTATAATAAAATAAAATAAAATAATTAATAAATCTAGAAACAACTGCCAAGAACACCTGCTGGTTCCGATGTTAGAAAATTAAGGTTGTGTTTATCCTGTTCTTTTCTTCTTTTTAAAAAAATTATTATTTTTATTTCTTTACGGTACGGTTCACATTATTTTCGTAAAAATATAGTATTCTCTAAGTCAAGAATCATATGACGTGTTCTTTTAGTGTTTAAATATATATTTTGAATTTTGATTATTAACTATTCAAATATTTGTTTTAATTATTTTTTTAAATAATTTATGAAAATAAGTATTATTTTTTTATTAAAAATAAAAATGAACAAATCTGTGCATTTATTATTTTTTATATTTAAATCAAATATCAGTATTTTATATGTTATAGATAGAACGATACTTCTTCGTCTAAACGAGTGTTCATTTGATCAGATATAAGTTTTAAGAAATATATATATATATTTTTTCTTTTTATGGTTAAAAAATGTGATATTTTGTTGCTTTTTAAAAATTAAATTATAATGTATTTAGATAGCAAAATAATAAATTTGAATGACAAAATGAGTATATTTTGTTTTTTTAGAAAATGTGTACATTTTTTCAAAAGGAATATAAAACATCAAATTAAATAATTTAACATAAATCAAATGCAGCAAGTTTTTGTTTATATATAATTTTTTATTTTTTATATTTTAAACTAAAAATAATTTTTAAATATACTATTTTAAAAAATAATAATAATGTATTAGATAATAAAATAAATACATCCTTAATTTATTCCTACACAATTTCATTGTATATTATTGTATTTATTTTCACTATAAAATATATTGAAATTTTGGTAAATCCTTACAACATTGAATGGATAACTCTTAATATTAAAATTTAGTTACCTTTTAATCTAATTACAATTAAACCAATAATAATAATAATAATTAATAGATAAGGTTTAATTCTGCAAGTATACTACTGTTTATTGTATATATATATATAGTTAGAGCATCTCCAACCATGTTCCATATCTGGTGTTCCAATATCATTTTTTGCAGCCGAGCTGCTCCAATCCAGCGTCATTCCGAGCACTAAATTTAGAGTTTGTTTTTGGTGTTGCACTGTAGCAAACGTTTTTTTTTTTTAAATTTTTTTAAATTATAAATTTAATTTTTATTTTTAAAAATTTTTAAAATTTTATTTTAAATTATAAAAATAAAAAGTTGTTTAAAATAATAGGAAAAATCGAATATTTGAAGAATAATAGTAAAAAATAGAGTTATGATTAGAGTAAACTGCATATTTGAAATTAAAATTGGATAAATTGAGATGATGGGTTGAAAATGGCCTTAGTAACATATGCTATTAAATTGGGGATTCATATATTTTAAAGTTGAACATATTATTGGTCATTAAATATAAATGTTTACCACTATTGACTATTCAAATTCAATATGCACTGTATCTGTAATAAAATTTACATTTATATTATTGAAATTCAAAACATCATTCTATTTTTTAAAAAAAAAAACATAAAAAATTATTCTTTGTAGACGAAAATTTTCAAATAATTTTGATTTTTGTAATTGGAAATTAATTGTAAACTTCAATTTTATCATGAGATGTAACGCCAACATTCACTTTCTATTGCGTCTTATATTTTATTTTGATTTTATGCTTTTATGCCAAGGCATATTACTTCTTTTTTTTTTTTTAATATTCCTTTTATGTATGCATTGAATCGTGCAAAAATTAGTTATATATAATTTTTATTAAAATCACAAATATTATATTAAATACTCCCTCAAGTCCGGTGCAAGGTTACCGTTTATTTTTTATACATAGATTTTTTAATATTAGTATTATAATTGGTTGTAGTGAAAATGACAAAAATACCCCTATCAGTATTGTGTAATATTTCTTCCGTCCCAGATAATTTGTCTATATTTTCTATTTTCGTATGTCCACATAATTTGTCATTTTATTTTATGGAAAATTATTATACACTTTAATCATATTTTAAAATTTACATTTAATTTTTTTAATCTTAATTAAATTATTTAGTTATCTTAATCATAATATATAATTATTTTTAATATATAATAATTTTTTTTCTCATACACTTTTTAATTACTTATTAATTACTCCCTCCGTCCCACATAATTTGTCCTTATTTTCTATTTTCGTCCATCCCACATAACTTATCATTTCTATTTTTGAAAATATAATTATATACTTTAATCGCATTTTAAATTTTATAATTTTCTTAATTTTAATTAAACTATTTACTTATCTTAATCTTAATTTATAATTATTTTTACTAAATACTCCTTGGCATAAAAGCATAAAATTCTCTTAATCTGCAAATTATACTTAATATTCCTTAGTAATATACCTAAAAAATTATCTTAATATTCCTTTTAGTAATAATTATTTTTATTAATATACTTTTAAATTACTTACTAATTATACTTTACCTAAATTCTCGTATCTACAGTAATAGTCTCATATTTTCTGGGGCGGAGGGAGTCTACTTTACCTAAATTCTCGTATCTACCGTAATAGACTCATATTATCTAGGACGGATGGAGTATAAAAGTAATGATATTTGTGTAATATAGTGTAAGTTGGAAGGGTATTTATTAGGTTAGGTAGGTAGTACAATTACTAAATTAACTTTCAATGGGACGGACGAAATATTTATTTTACAGAAAAATCAAACCACAAACATGCATATAAATACCAAAATTATAAAGTTTGTTAATTTATATTTCCATCTTTATTTAGCCATTATGCAATTTATTTGGAAATATATATATATATTTCACAAAAATACTTGATTCTATACTTATTTCAATTCATTATCATATCAAATACGGTCAATTTCAAACGTTATTTTGGAAGAAACAAAAATATGCAAATATAAATTTGGAAAGAACCACCAAAAACAATTAAAAATATAAAAATTACTCGAGAACACAAAACTCTATTTATTTAATCAGTTTAAATCAGCTAATTAAATCAGCTAATTGTCAAACACATTCTATATTCAACTTTTACCTTTATTTTTAAATAAAACATTAAATCAAAATTTTAATTTTGCATTATTTTAATAAATTAAAAATTTTAAATATCATATAGAACGACAAATATCCATACCCATATGGTTTGCGTTTAGTTGTACAACTCTTGTCTTTTTTTTTTTTTTAAAGAAAATAATAATAATAATAATATGAGTGGTGTGGTGTGGTGTGGTGAGTGGGAGCAGAAGTTAAAGTCGCATTTGGATGAGGCAGCACGCTGAGGAAGACTTGACTGAAATCGTGTTATTAACTTCCACGACATTTCCACGCTTGGCTCTTCTCTTCTCTATCCATACTGACTTATGTCTGTCTGAGTCTGATGTTGATTACCAAACACGCTTTCAACTTCGTATCTATCTACCTTCGTCTCTATCACTAATTAATTATTTAATTAATTAATACTCCCTCCATCCCATATCTATATATCCATACAGATTTTTAGAAATATTAGTATTATATTGACATAAAGTAAAAATAAAAATAAAAATAAAAAGATTAAATTAATCCTATTAGTATTGTATGATATAAATACAATGATATTTGTGTAATATATTGTAAATTAGAAAGGTATTTGTAATGTTAGCTAGATGATACAATTACTAAAAAAAAATTTGATATTTTGTCATGAGACGACCAAAATAAAAAAAGTAGGAAGTATAAAAGATTAATTTTATATTTCATTTGTGTCATTTTACTTGTGTAATTTTATGTACATACGAAAATTTTAAAAAATTATATAAATAAAATAATTATTTTATAATATAAAAAATTAGAAATTAATATTAAAATAACTAATTAATTTAATTGAAATTATAAAATTATAAAATCTAAAATACTATTAAGAATGTAGAATTATTATTGATATTTTTTTTTAAATGACAAATTTAAAATTTAAAAAAAATTACATAAATAAAAATAATTATTTTATAATATAAATAATTATAAATTAATATTAAAATAACTAATTAATTTAATTAAAATTATAACATTATAAAATTTAAAATACTATTAAGAGTGTAGAATTATTATTATTATTTTTAAACAACAAATTATATAAAACAGAGTAAAATATAAATAATTTAAGTGGACAAATATTATTAATCAATTATATTTTTATTATATTAGTTAGTGTTTTTTTCAATATTTTAAAATTTCTATAAACTTCTATTCAAATATAAATTCATTTATAAAGATATACTTTCATAGTAATAATAATTTAAAATATATTGTCGAGTTAATATCCAATATATTTAAATATTTTTTCAATTAAAATTAATTATAACTTAATATTTCTATAATTTTTTATAGATATATTTTAATATTACTATTTTTCTAAACTTATTTATATTAAGCACTTGCATTTGCAGTTGTATTTTATTTATTTATTTAAATGATATAAATTTTATTCTTTATGAGTGTGTTTGATTTCTATTGTTTATATTTTATATTTTAATAATAATTGGATTTAGTTTTTTTTTTTTAAATGGTAGTATATTTTTACAAAGAAATTAAATAGATTTTATTTTATTCAAATATTTTATAATATACTTTTATTTTACATTCTATACAAATAACATTTATGACTATGTTCTTTCGAAATTTAATTTAATTTTGTTTTACTATTATAATGATTGTATTATTAAATACAATAATTTTTGTTTTATATATAAAACTAACATACACAA